CCTGCTCCAGCAGAAGCACAGCTGGCACTGCAGGAGGGCTGAGCCCCCCTGGGATGGGGCTGAGCCACCTCCCTGACACACAGGGGACAGGGCATTGCTGACCCTGTCAGTGCTTTATTTTATTTTTTGTACTATAGCATTTCTATTTTTTTAAATTTTCCTAGTAAAGAACTGTTATTCCAATTCCCATATCTTTGCCTGAGAGCCCCTTAATTTCAAAATTATAATAATTTGCAGGGAAGGGGTTTACATTTTCCATTCCAAGGGAGGCTCTGCCTTCCTCAGCAGACACCTGGCTTTTCAAACCAAGCCAAAGGTCCCACCACCAGAAGGAAAGGAGCTTCCTCTAAAGGCCTCGAGAACTCGACAGCAAAGCATCGTAAGAATTCATTTAAATGAATCATCTGATTTTGAATTGATCAAAATTAAATAGCAACAATAAATTAATGATAAAATTATCTGTACTGAGTGTATGGAAATGGACTCACACAGCGACTACAGAATTTGGGGGCTTTTTTAATTCCATGCACATCCCTAACAATAAACTTCTCAAAAAGTTGCAGGAATCCACTGATGAGCTATAAATAATGAGCTATAAATGATGAGCTATAAATGAGTCTTGGCTCAGGTACAGGACACTGGTGAATCCCCAGTTGGAACAGAAGCTGTTGGACCATGCAATCCCAGAATGGTTTGGTTTATGTACATAATTCAATCTGTTCCAGAGACCCAACAAAGTCCTGCTATGTTCTTGTTAAATCTGGAACTAAGTTACTGAACTTTAAACTAAGCTTTAGGGCCTTTACTCGCCAACACAGTTTCTTAAGGCACTTATAATGTATTTCTACTTCAAACTACAACTTGCACTTATTTAAACCTACACTTCTACATCACATCTATGTGGCTTAATAGATCTTAATTTCTCTAAAGGCTTTAACTGAACCCCTGCATTCCCTTCCCTGCTCACATTCCAATAGCTTGGGATGGAAGGGACCTTACAGAGCAGCTGATGCCAGCTCCTGCCA